TTTCAGTAGAAGGGTCTGCATTCAAGAAAAATGACTCGAGATTTTCAGCTAAGCTTAGGCCTTCTTTTAATTTTTTTAATGTTAAATTATATCTCAGTGGCAACATTGTATCTTTAAGACGGCAAGCCTCGCCGCGACTGTAGAAGTACAGTACTTTACAAAGGTTTTTGCAATTTTCTTATCGTGTTAGAGCGAAGCCGTGTTATCGGATGCCGTATTGTAGGAGGGTTTGCGCAATTTACGAATCGTGTTATAGCGAAACCGTGTTATAAGATGCCGTGTTGAAGGAGGGCTACCTGTATTACATTTTATGCGAAAATCATCTTTAATCCATTTTCGTTGTGAAATACCTTTTATTGAATTCTAATTAATGTTGGAGCTTGATGCTCAGTGGAATAAATCCAACAGGGTAAGCTGTTGTTAACGTGAGTTTTAATATAAGAGAACAGAGAACGTGTTGAACGTCTTGGGTACAGGAGATCAATAATTTAGGAGAAGCAGTATAACAAACAATAAAAGGTCGTTACTAAACGATAGCTATTAAACAAAAGGGTGCTGTCGTCTATAGGCTGGCTGTAGGGTTCTACAATGGGACACGTTAAAACGAACTGTTCCAACAATTATTATATTCTTTTACCTGATTTACAGACAGTCGAGGTTTCCACCGAAGTCTTCGTAAATCCCTCATTATACTGCGTTGCCGATCGGACGTTCATCAAAGAACAATAGCGAGGATCAGCCACGACTACTTCTTCATACTCGTTGTTAAAAATATCATTTTGCGTACCAGCGTCTTCTCCTTTCTCGACGTTCCCGTTCCTCTCCGTGTCTTCCATTGACTTGATCGAATTGCTCGACTTCAAAGAATCTTTATCCAGTTCCAAATCTGTTCTCTGTTTATTCAAGCTCGCGTGGGAGGACGAACGATCCGAATCCGCGTTGCTACAAATCGAACTCCTCTTGTCCCAACGTTTTGCGTTTAATTGTTCTATGACTAGACTGTCTTCACTCGAGAAACTTTTTCTCTGCTTCCATCGAGTTGACTCCGTTCCCCAGTGCTTCGAGTCAGGATTGTCTTCGACTTGGACCAAACAAACCGGCGATGGTTCGTGACTCGATGTGACCGTTCCGAGCGGAACTGCGATGCTCGTCGTTTCGCTCGCTGCGACGGAGTACACAGGCGTTTGATGAGGTTGCACCCTTTCCAAAGGACTCGCGGTTTCTTCGATTACGTCCTCGATGTCGACGATCATCGCTTCCGGTTCGGAATCGTCCATTATGTCCTCTGATGCGTCCCCAGTTTTCCGACGACGATTCACTGAAACTAACATTTTTCCATAATGATATTATTGTTTGTAGCTTTTGTGCATTCGTGTACAGATTTCGTACTCACTAGTAGAGGATGGCGAAGTGTCGAGACGATTAGAATTTTTCACTCTGTTCATCTTATGATCCAATGATTGCAGACTGTTTGCACGACGCGTGAAATATTCGCTTGGACAAGCCGTTGTTGATTTCTCGGCCAGGTTCCCGACCGATTTCGATCTCTTTGTTGAGCATACTTTGAATAATCTCGATTCCTCGTTCCTGTCTTCTGTCAAGAGTATGTCAAATATAAACAGAGAAATCGATCGTTAGAAAGAAAAGATTAGTTATCATTAGGCATGCAGATTTTATGCATTAATAAATGGAATTATAAAAATGAAAAATCTGTATAATTAGATTGAATTCCTTAAAATACGATTTTTCTAGAA